GTTGGAGGTTCTCAAAGGGAGTTCGAAGTATCTCAATAATTCAGAAAAAAATTACTCCGAAAAACGGGGGAAATAATTAGTCAGAAAAACAGAAAAAATTATTCCAAAAAATATATTACTCCGAAAAAAGTTTTTTTTTCTTCTTCAGCGGTATCTACGGCCCTACAGCACTGTGTGAGAGCTGAGGTCACCTTTCTATGGAAAAAACATAACATTGTTCAGCCAGAGTTGGAAATTCACCACAACGATACGAAAGTGTGTAAAATCTGAGAGAATAATTGGCGGCTGCAGCTCTTTCATACAAACCGCACTGATTACAGCGCTTCCACCGCGCTTACAGCCGTAAATCAAACACACTTCTGAGGAATTTGTTAAACTTTTGTAGTTGGGTATGTTTTTATAGCTCGATACCAACCATGAATTATACAGTGTATGTGTATGTGTGTGTGTGTGTGATTTAGTGATCTGCAGGGTGGTCTAGTTCCTCCGATCACACCCTGGATTTAAAAGTGTTTTCTACAATCTCAACACTTTGATTTAAAGCCAGGTGTAATTTTTATAAACAGCATTTCTCCCAGAGGCTCATCACTGTGGGAGTCTGTCGATGGTTAGATGACACACAATCTACAATAAAACCTTTAAAGGTGCAGTTCCACTAATGACCACTAGATGCTGCTTAAAGGGGGAATTTCTTTTCCTATGTGTTTATGTATATCCACTAAAAGTTCTTGTTTTTGCCACTGACGAGAAACCAGCTCTCCACCAGACTCCATAGACAAAAATGTTGATTTTACCTCACATATCATCGACTTCATTCAAACTGGACAGAAACAGAATAAAACTCATCAAAACCGTCTTTGCTTTGGTTTGGTTTAATTTACATTACGTTAAGGTAACGTTAGCTTGCGTTGTGGCCACTGCAGCCCCTTTTCAAAAATCTTTTCACATCTAACTCTGTGAATTAAGGATTTATTTTGACCAAACCAGAGTTTGTTGATTGTCGGAACAAAAGAAAGACAACAAAATATTTTTTTGTGAGTTTTATTATATTTCTGTCCACTTTGAATGAATTACAATATTCCGAAGTTAAATGAGTGTTTTTGTCTCTGGAGTCTGGTGGAGAGTGATAGTGATATTATGGCTGTTACTGGTTAAACTAAAGGTCTATCTCTGTAAGGATCCTTTCCTAGACAATATTTTCACATCTAACTGTGAATTGAAGGTTTATTCCAACCAAACCAGAGTTTGTGATTGTTGGAAACACAAAAAAAGACAGTTTTGGTGAGTTTTACAGTTTGAAGTCTGTTCTACAACTACCAGGTAAAATTACTGCTTTTGTCTATGGAGTCTGGTGGGACGTAGCGCCCATCGTATCCGTCTGAGAGATTCACTCTTGTGTATTTAGAGTTTCTGTCTATAATAAGTATAAATAATATTTCCAGTAGCAGGACGTCTCCCAGTGAGACAAATCTATCTTAAACAGGCCTCAACTGAGCCTAAACATTCCCTGATTTATTCCTGAATCTTCTCACAGCACTGATAGTGGAAACTGAAATCACATTAAACGACCATAAATGAGTAATTACAGTGTGGTTGGAGTATTTAAGAGAAATAAAAGAGATAACCCGGCCTCCCCCCCGCCCTGCGCTCAGGGTGTTTATGTTGGATCCGGCTCACAAACAGCTGTCAGAGACTCGGTCCCATCACAGCTCTTCAGTTCTCAGAGCTGCAGCTTCGTTTCCTCCTCTGACGGGACGTAAATCAAACACACCTGAAGCCAGCGGGCAGCAGGTCGATCTCTGACACTAATTACAGGTTCGTCCTGATGAAAGAAAGAAATCTGCCTCCAGAGTTTGAACTGTTAGACCTCAGAGACGCCCATCAGGGAGATATTTATGGATGATACTGATGCCGTATTGACAGTCAG